GCTAAAATTTAAAGTTTAAATATAATTAATTACATATCAAGATAAAATTATAATAAAAGTTTAACTTTTAATTAATAAAAGTTTTTAGAGATTTAAATATTTTGGTATTTTTAACTTTAATTATTTGGTAAACATTTATTATAAAACGCACCTAGGGTGGTTTTGCACCTATTATATGGTTTATATATTTTTCCAAGTTTTAGCACAAATTTTTCCTATTGGGGTTAGTTTTTAGTGATAGAATTAAGGTTTAGGAAGGGACGTGGAGCATTTTTTTTTACCTAGAGTATCGCATATTAATTAATTAGCCAGTTTTTAAGATGAATGCATCATAGGTAGTAAAACACCATAGGTGCGTTTTAGTAAAAGTGATTAATTTTACTTGCAAATTTAAGATGTCTTGCACTGCACAATTAGAAAAATTTATCAAGATATACAGTATGTTAATTTAAAATATTTCAAAACGGATTAAATACTATTCAAATACTGTATCTACTTATAATTATTTAATTCGTTTGCGTATTTTCAAATTTTCTGTACTTAATACACCGTTAGAAATGTAATTCATATATCCGCATTCTTTGTTTAAAATTTATTTGTAATTCCTTTTATTACAATAAAGATAAAGTTTTCATGCACTACGTAAATTTCTATTCCTATAATGTATGATTTCTTTCGCAACTTCGATAATAAGCAACTTTCCTTGTTAACCATATTGTACCAATAAATCCGCATGTATATATTATCATCGTTGTATCGGTATTACAAAATTAATCATCACATCCACTTGATAGATAGTTACAACATATGCATTATGGTTATAGTTACACGACTGCTATTTAGATAGATGTTAAACCAAACCAGCAATGGTTTGTTGAGTTTATCCGGGATATTTAAATATTCGCTGAATATCTAGTTATCAAACCTTCATGCTTATGATTCTGTATACAATCGCGTCGCTCGCGGGGAAAACCGATATAAAATAGTTGGGTAATAGCCAATCCTCGACGGATTTATTTTAAGCTGCCAAGCAAGGGAAAATGAGACTTCGGGACTTTCAATTTATTATTTATTATTTATAGAATTCAGCCCTTTAAAAACCTGATAATAACCTATATGATACGTAATTTCTGGGCTGAATCCCAATAAATCAATAATAAACTTGAAAGTTCGAAGTCCCATTTTTCCTTGGCAAAGCTCATATATCGATATTAATAGAAATGAGAACGGATTTTGTACGCACGCACGCACGTACGTATGTAACACTTTATGAATTTTGTGTTCCCTCAAGTAGTGATTAAAATTACGTAATACATTTTTCAAAAGTCGTCAATTTTTGGCGGTATCCTGAATTTACAATAATGTTAACCCTAATTATAACCCTAATCATATCACTGTCATTAAAAAAATTCTACGACTTATTAATATGTAAGATAAAACTCTGCCCAAACTTGGAACATGTGATAATAATTAATAAAGATTTTCCAAACATTGATTTGCTTAGAAGATTACTTAAGTTGTGGAAATTCTAATTGACAGGTAACGGAACTAAGCAAAAAGACGCTACACGCTTTCCAGAAAAGGTTGTGAACATTTTGTTTAAGTCGCTGAATGGTCTAGAATATGCGTTATTATTATTATGATAATTGGTTAGATCATTTTATGTAACCATTAAATAAATAAAGGATTTGGTAACGGTGTGTAGATTAAATTTTTCACCTGTCCAATAAAAGTAACTCATTTGTATTGGAAATGATTTTCCAAAGGTACCAAATATATGCTGTACGATTTTTTATATCTTTCTGAATTTGCCCTTTTTTTACTTTTAAAAAAAAAACAGAAAAAAAAACGAAAAAAATTTGACCATTTAACGGTTAAATTAGTGAAGAGTATATCCATTGCTCTTTTATATACATTAAGATGGCACTTTTTTTCAGAGATCATAGTTGCTCTGCGGCTGTTATTCTTATCACACTAGTTCAAATATTTTATATAATATATACATATACATTTATACCTCCAGAAGAATTTGTCGATGTAAAAGAGTTAAGACCTATACGTCCCATTGTTTTGAAGCATCGTCCTCTTGACGGTTACGTTGTCAACTTGACACTCATCAACAAATATTGTGAACCAGAATTATATGATATTGATTATTTTGACACTTATAACATTCAAGATTGTTTAGATTATCTTGACGAACGTGAAAGCGAATACTTGGTAAAGAGTCCAGACCCAAAAATTAAATGCTCTCCAGACAGCGTGCCAATGTTATTCCATGTTTATTGGAGAGGAAGAATAAATGATAAAATTGCTTTTATGATAAAATCTTTCTTATACACACAACCTCTCGATTGTTCTCTTTTAAACGTTTGGCTCGATCAAAATCAAGAAGATGACTTTAGTAAAAATCCTCATATACAACCTTTACTCAAATTCTCACCCCAAAACTTCCGTTTAAGAAGGTGGAATATCACAGAACAACTTAATTACGATCCAATATACGACGGTTGGGAAGAAAAAATTAACCAACAAATTCCGACAGTTGGATACAGTGACCTTGTACGGTTTGTATTGTTGTATAGATACGGAGGAATGTACATTGACGCCGATGTTCTTTTTCTTCGTGATATGAGACCTGTTTACCACATTAATCAAGAATTTGCTTATCGTTGGAGTTTCTGGCTTAATTACAATACTGCCATTCTACGTCTCAACGCAAAAAGTACGACCGTACGCACTGTTGTAGAAAATGCTATGCAGCACAAAATGAATTTTCATCCATTCCAGATAAAATATTATCTTGTCAAAAAACAAATTGTCGTCAAGCAGGACTTGGACGAGCAGCTTTATATGATGCCGACAACTTTGTTCGATCCATTATGGTTAAAGGTTGATTTGCAATTATCTAAGCAAGTTACGAAACCTAATATAAATGGTTTCCATGATGCTTATAAACCAACTGTAGTTAATAAAGAATTCCCTGATGACAAACAAGCCACAACTTCAATGAGGAATAAGAAAGAATTTTTCAGAGGTGCATTTACTTATCATTGGCATAACCAATGGGAGAGTTCTATTACTGATTCTTCTTGGTTCGGAATATTACAAAGAGGATATGATGAATTTATAAATGGTCAATCTCCAAATATGTATAATGAATATATAAACGAATTTCATGAAGAAATATTTTAGTATATTATTTACCCTTAATTTTGTAGATATTTAAAACTTAATAATATAGAATTTTAAAATTATGCATTTTTCTGTTCTAATTTTTTTATGATTGAACATTTTTTTTTAATTGCTCTTACGTATTAATTTTTTGATTCGTTCATTAATTAAACCAGAAAAAAAATTTTTTAATTAAAAAAAAAAATAAAAAGGAAACTCCTTCAACATTAGCGCTGAAGTATGACATACAAAATTAAAAAACTTTAATTATAATTAGATTACGGTGTCAATTTATTATATGCTATACAAAAGTTATCTTTAATGCACTCTTTTAGGACTATCCATTATTTGTATATTGATTACTGTATAAGTCTAGGAAAATAAATAAAACACGTTTGTGGTAATAAATTTTGCCGTGTTTTATAAGGTTTACGCATAGTTGCTTTATATAGTGTCCACTGGTAAAAAAATCATATTTTAATGGTCTTTACTGTTTAAAGTTTAAATACGTATGACTATTAATTTATGCTATGTATTTTCGTCGATAAAGTTGAAATTTATTCCGAATATAATCTGCAGTAAATCAGGTAATTATCGATAATCCGATATTCACAATGAAGATATTCCGCATATAATCTGCCTTCAATCAGATAATTATCGGTAAATCCGATAAATGAAATTTAACTGGATTTCAAGGTCAAGGTAATGTGAAAGAAACACAAAAAATCAAATCTAAAAAATCGTTCACGACTCTACATTTTGCCTATCAAATTATCTTCTACGCACTAACAAAAAGTTTTTGCTAAATTTTTTAAGACGTAATGTTATGTGTTATTTATTTCGTTCGATATATTAAATCATCGCTGATGTTATATGAAACTTTTATTTAATAAACAAATTAATA